AGGAACCATGCTTTCATCTTGAATGCCAGTATGTTGAACGCAGTGACGTAACAGTCTGGGAGTGGTAAAAAGAGTTGAAGAAATTTAGAAATCGCTTACATACTGTTATTGCCTCTTTTTAGGTAATTATTATGCCGCGACTCTCAACGCACACACATTTGCATCACCCTTGGCTTCTACAACTATTCGTAACTATGAGCTGCGTTTTGCATTTTGAAAAACGGAACTGCCCGCAGATCAAATGAAACGGGTACTGGCTTAACGGATGGGTAAAGCAGTAGCTTTTTTTTTTTAAAAAAAAGCAATTCAGGTGATTCCAAAAGGAAAATGTTATACGAGAATAGTACAAGAGAGCGACTGGTACTATATCTTAATTGCTTTCAGTTTTTAAGTTACAAAATTGAACTTGCTTCACACATTAATGGGTGTGCTAACAATCACTGGACCTTTGTAAGCCTGTGAAAAAACATAAAACTAAAAACAAGCCAATAAATAAGTTTGGAAACTGTGAAAAGCTGAAGCAATACAAAAATTGTGAAAAGCTGAAAAATCAAAGGTTCTTGTTTTTCGTAAAAAACAAACGGCAAAGGCGATTTTTACTGTATCAAGAGAACAGCGAAGAAGCTAGTACAGCGCTGCTCACAAACTTCAGTCGACTTGGACTTCTTAGTCATGAAAAAGAGACTGAGTCATTTAAATTATACATTTCCTGCAAAATACACTTAGCGAAGGTGATAATTAAAAAATGAAATCAATGAAAAGAGATCGACTTTTCCTTGTGTCTGCTATAAGAACACTACGGCGCAAGATTCGAGGTAACCATAGTGGGATGAGTGCGTTTCAGTACCGCAACTGCAGATGAGCATGCCACATGCAGCAGTGTGTCCATCTGAAAATACACTCACGGTTTCTTTTCCTCCGTGCGCCCGCTAAATTAAAAACACGGAACTCAGCGCGCTACAGTGGATAAATTCTAGTCGAACCCGTGAAGTCAAACATGCGTAAGCTCTCACTGAGTGCAAAAAGCTGATACTACGATGCCCTGAATTAGTGGAAAAAGTTTGGCTTCCTCTGCTTATGAAAAAGAGAATGAAAACAACCGATTACAAAAAAAATCTGACAGAAACAAGGAGGCTTCTTAATTTTTTTTTTTAACAAATAAAAGCAATGAGGGGAAGAAAAACCTGTATAAGGTCTTCCTCTTTGACACGTAATGGACGTAATTCATCGGTCATAGTGGCCGTACATCTGAGCCCTTCAGCAGCGACAAAATCTTCAGCAACCTGTTAAAAGACGTCCGAAGTGACACCTTCAGTTCTGCATTAGTCCAGTATCTCTTTTACAAAATATATGCAAAACAAATTCTCGATCCCCTTTTGCATACTTCCCTTTAGAAGAAATAAGGACACATGAGTCTACTAAGAGTAATCATCCTCCGCTTTAAGCCCTTGGTGGCTATTCCTTTTGCGACTAGACCAAAAAGCACGCTTGGAACAAAGACATTTTAGCCACCGTAACACAAGCTTTGGACTGAGGCAATTCTTAGAATCACAAATTTTGCGAAAAAAA